GCCGCCAGCCCCTGCCCTGCCCACAGGCTGCCCTGGGAGCAGTGCTCTGTGGTGTGTCTGGCTGAGTGTCCCTGCCTGGGGTTGGGAGGGGAGGGGGGGGCCTTACCTTCTCCTCACAGAGCAGGCTTATGGTCCCAGCAAGAGGGGGGCCAGACTGGGGCTCTGCACTGGGAGAGTCTTTTGGGGAACAGCAGAGATATTCCCCTCACTAGGAGCCTCACCTGCCCACAGCCAGGGCTCAGGGGACCCCAGCAACAGCAGTCGATGTCCAGGGGATGCAAGGAGCATGGGTTCCCGACCCCAATTCCCTGCCTGTGGCTAGGCTGTGCGAACAGGGCTGGCTCCACCTGGTACCCCATGGGTCCAGGTATACTGGATGGCCTGAGGCTGGTCTGGGTGTGCCTGGCTGGAATTGTTCTGTATGGCATCACCATCCCCAGGTCCGCCAATGGGTGCAAGGAGGCAGAGGGGTCAATTGCCCAGGGACCCAGTGATTTAAAAGCCCCAGATGATGGGTCAGATACAGTTTTTGCAGTATTAATTTTCTTTGATTTCATATTAAACATTTAAAGTCATGCACCTTGTTAATTATCACTTGTAGTATTTTCTTCATTAGCATTTTAAATATATATATTTGTTAACTTGGGTGCCTGGATGGCACATTTGAACAAGTGCACATGACCTCAATATTGGTGCACAAAACAACTCTGCTCAGATATGGAAAATGTTGAGGGGAACTGGTCACAGGGCTAGTAAGCTTTTGGAACGTTCAGTTATGTAAATGCAGTTAGATTACAACTTACCCATAGAGTTCTCTGGCTAATGCCAAAATGGTGGAAGTCTTTCCAGTTCCAGGTGGACCATAAAATAAGAGATTGGGAAGCTGTAGTAGCAGAAAAGGGATATTTTACAACACAAGTTATTAACTCAAAATATTTAATATACAGAACTTCCACATCACCCTTACTCTAGGAAGGAACTCCCACTACAGCATGAAGGGAAATGGAACTGAATGACTGTACAGTACAAAGCCTTTCAACATGTGGGTCATCAGGCACTGTAGGTTCCATAGATGCCAATCAAAGTAAGAACTCAAACCAATCTCTGTTGCTGACATGCCAAATTCTTCACATGGCCTTTTTATGGATATGAACACAAAGGTCTATTCAAACTGATATGCCCACTCAGGAAGGTTCGTGGATATACTGTCTCCAGGCCAGGATTGAGACACATGGCTACAAGACCATGGTGGAGTTTTGCAATGGCTCTACCCACAATGTACATGGGTTGCTTGTTATGCACTTCTGCATTTTGTGGGGGGGGGGGGGGGGGGGCCAGCCTATAGCAAACAAAAAAGACTGAGCTTCTCAGTCAGACTTGAAATTTATAGTCCTAAATAAATTTTCTATTTTTAAAAGATAGATGCTGTTAAAAAAAGAAATCTAATTCTATAGAGCTACCTAAAGTATTTAATAATTAAAGATTAGGATTCCCCTCCCTAAAGTATAGCAGCTAATGCACATAGAAAGGGAACAAAAAAAAAAAAAAATGCAAAGCAGCAATGAAAATGTATAGGGTAATTAAGTATTCCAGATAAATACCAAGCAGGATTTGGCAAGCATGCTTTGTAACTGTCATTTATCCCTATCTATTGAGAGTGCAATAAGTACATAGCAAGTATTCCATTAAATTATAATGGATTTACACAGTAAAACCATACTTTAAATACAAATATTTATATAAACTAGGGGCTATGTTCCATGCTCATTATGCTTGCTAACCCCCCCTCTGCCCGCTTTCACAGCCAGAGAGCCTGATGATGTCATTCTGTCATGCGGCAAGAAAACCTTTTTTTATAAATAGAGAAAATTATGAAGAGACAGAGAGAGAATGAACTTCAAGCATTTAAGTGTACATGAAAACATTGACCTGAACTGAATGTGTGGGTTGAATTCAGATATCACATTTAAAAAAGCTTCCCCTTCTGAAAAATGTTAAGATATAGTAAATTTTTATATATTAATAAAACTGAGCATGAAACATGCAAGCCCTCATGTCCTCTAAAAAGACCTTTATCTAGAAGTTATGCCTTTGATGGATTTCAAAGGTTATATATAAACAAAATACATTTAAGGTAATTAACAGATTAAGTTTAGCTCAAATTTAAAATTACACACAATTTTTATATGTTTGATCAGCTACCATAATTGTCAACATCCTCCAGAATGTTTAGGACAAGACTAAAAAGGAGAAACATTATGCGTTTTAGTTCTCATAGCAAATGGCTGAAGAGCTATTAGACAAGAGCACTGTATCAGCAAGCTGACACATTGCAGATTTTGTGGTGAGACATACACAATAACTTGACCCCAAACCATTAATCCACTCCCTGCTAGTTCTCTGAATAGGCTTTAGCAAGAGTTTTAATGAGATTAAACACTCTACTAATTCCACTTAAATATACTAAATCCACACTCAGGCTGTTTGCGCTTCCAATTTCACATCAAAATTATCACCAAAATTTACACTGCTATCTTACAAAGCATATCCTAATCCTTTATATAACTTAATGGCAGTATTTATAGCAGAACTGTAACCTGATCCAGCCACGCAGTTTTCAATGCTTGCCAGTGGAAAGCTATACCTGTAGGCATCTTACCCAGACTATGGGAAGGTTAACACTACTAGCAAGTTAAATACCATAATACTATAAGTCAGTTTAGAGCGTTTCAGACACCAGGGACATAACATTTAGATTAACTGGCTAATCAAATAGTCGATGCAATCTGCATCAATTAATTGATAATGACACCTCTGCCTTTGAAGTGTAGTAAGAGCTGTGGGGCTCTTGCTACACTTCAAAGGTGAAAGTGCTGTGGGAAGCATGGGGCCAGTGGGGGACTCAAGCAGTCCCCCACTGGCTCCATGCTCCCCATAGCATTTCAAAGTGGCATTGCTACATGGAGCATGGGGTCAGTGGGGGAGTCCCTAATCGGCCCTGCGTTGCATGCAGCGTTTCAAAGCAGACCTCAAGCTCCACACAGCGCTGCCACTCCTCTTTCCTTTCCCCCCTTGCTGCCTCTTTCTGATAGAGGCAGCAGGGGGGAGGAAGCGACTAGTGTGTCGACTATCCGATAAACATTTGCTTATCAGATAATTGACTTGTTCACCTCCCTATCAGACATTGCATGTTCTAAAGAGCTTGACAAGAGATGGAAGCTGAAATGGCAGCTTCCAGAGACCCAGCTAGAGCACTGATTGTGCCAGAGTATTAAGACTTAAATTAATTATTCTTAGCAAGGTCAAGCACTGCAATCATGGCAAAGAAACTACTAAAGTCTTTGAAGTCCCAATGGTAACAGTCTCAGAAATACTGCCAGTTCCACACACAGGGCCAGGTAGGCAGACAGAGCTTCAAAGTCTCAATGCGCGCATGAGGTGATGGTGTAGAGAGGAGGGGGTTAGATTTATTAGGAACTGGGGAAACTTTTGGGATAAGGAAAGCATATACAGGAAAGATGGGCTCCACCTAAGCCAAAAATGGAACCAGACTGCTGGTACTTATCAAAAAGGTTGTAGAGCAGTTTTTAAACTAAGGGCTGGGGGAAAGCAGACAGGTGCGGAAAAGCACATGGATCGGACAGAGACATCTATTAGGGGAGATTCTATTAATAGAGATGCTCTATGTTCTAGTCAGGAGGAGAGGATGGAAGTATGGTCAGATCAGATGAGACAATCAAAAGAAAGAGTCTAACATCAAGAAATGGCAGACAAACAGTGACAAATTATTCAAGTGCTTATACACAAATGCTAGAAGTCTAAATAATAAAATGGGTGAACTAGAGTACCTAGTTTTAAAGGAGAATATTGATATAATAGGCATCACAGAAACTTGGTGGAATGAGGACAAACAATGGGACAGTCATACCAAGGTACAAAATATATTGGAAGGACAGAACAGGTCGTACTGGTGGAGGAGTGACACTATACAAAAAAGTGTAGAATCAAATGAAGTAAAAATCTTAAATGAGCCAAAGTGTTCCATAGAATCTCTATGGATAGCAATTCCATGCTCCAATAAGAATATAGCAGTAGGGATATATTATCAACCACCTGATTAAGACAATGATAGTGACTATGAAATGCTAAGGGAGATTAGAGGGGCTATAACATTTAAAAAGTCGATAATAGTGGGGGATTTCAGCTATCCCCATATGGACTGGATACACATCACCTCAGGACAGGATGCAGAGATAAAATTTCTTGATACCTTAAATGACTGCTGCTTGGAGCAGCTGGTTCTGGAACACACCAGGGGAGAGGCTATTCTTAATTTAGTCTTAAGTGGAGTGCAGGATCTGGTTCAAGAGGTAAATATAACTGGACTGCTTGGAAATAGTGACCATAATATAATAAAATTTAAACATCTCTGTGGTGGAAAAACACACCTCAGCAGCCCAAGACGGTGGCATTTAACTTCAAAAATGCAAACTACACAAAAATGAGGAAGTTAAACAAATTAAAAGGTACAGTGACGAAAGAAAACTCTGAAAGATTCCTGGAAAATTTTCAAAGACACCATAACAGAGGCCCAACTTAACCTGTATACCCCAAACTAAAACACACAGTAAGAGAGTCAAAAAAGTGCCACCATGGCGTAACCAGGTAAAAGAAGCAGTGACAGAAAAAAAGAGACATCTTTTAAAAAGTGGAAATCAAATCCTAGTGAGGAAAATAGAAAGGATCATAAACTTTGTAAAATTAAGTGTAAATTAGAAGAAGAAAAGGCAAAAAGAAGTTTGAAGAACAGCTAGCCAAAACTCAAAAAGTAATAGTAAAATGTTTAAGTACATCAGAAGCAGGAAGCTGACTAAACAACCAATGGGAGAAGCTAAGTGAATTCTTTGCTTCAGTCTTCACAGCTGAGGATATTGGGGAGATTCCCAAACCTGAGCCATTCTTTTTAGGGGACAAATCTGAGGAAATGTCCCAGATTGAGGTGTTAGAGGAGGTTTTGGAACAAACTGATAAACTTAACAGTAACAAGTCACCGGGACCAGGTGGCATTCACCCAAGAACTCAAATGGGAAAACTGCAGAACTATTAACTGTGGTTTGTAAACTATCCTTTAAATCAGCTTCTGTACCTAATGACTGGAAGATAGCTAACGTGGCACCAATATTTAAAAAGGGCTCTAGAGGTGATCCTGGCAATTACAGACCAGTAAGTTTAACATTAGCACCGGGCAAATTAGTTCAAAGTATAGCGAAGAATAAAATTGTCAGATACACGGATGAGTATCATTTGTTGGGGGAAGTCAACATGGTTTCTGTAAAGGGAAGTCATGCCTTACTAATCTATTAGAGTTCTCTGAGGGGGTCAACAAACATGTGGACAAGGGAAATCCATGGATATAGTATACTTAGATTTCCAGAAAGTCTTTGACAAGGTCCCTCACCAAAGGCTCTTAAGTAAAGTAAGCTGGCATGGGAGAAGAGGGAAGGTCCTTTTATGGTTTGGTAACTAGTTAAGAGACAGGAAACAAAGGATAGGAATAAATAAGTTCTCTTAGTGGAGAAAGGTAACTAGTGGGTCTGTCCTAGTACCCATCCTATTCAACTTATTTATAAATGATCTACAGAAAGTGATAAACAGTGAGGTGGCAAAATTTGCAGATGATACCAAACCGCTCAAGATAGTTAAGACCAAAGACTATGAAGAGCTTCAAGAAGATCTCACCAAACTAAGTGACTGCGCAACAAAATGGCAAATTAAATTTAATATTGATAAATGTGCCTGCACCACAACTAGGTGGGCTCAACCCTCTTCATGCTGGGGGAGATCTGTCCCACTTAGCTCTTATATGGGTTCAGGGATCACTAG